TATCAATCAGTATTATTGTCTATACCTTAAATCTAATTCTGTCCTTTTTTTCTTCACGTGTTCTTTCCATCTCAGTTTGGCATTTAAGGTCATTCCCAGATATTTAGCTGTATTGCTGTAAGGTATAGTAGTTCCATCGATTGTGAGCGACCGAACATGGTCCACATTTTTGTTTGCAAAGATTAGATGAATTGATTTATGCTAATTTAGCTTGATTTTCCATTTTTTTGTCCATTCGTTTATCTTATTACATGCGTTCTGGAGGATTTTGGTTGAATGGATGATAGTCGGTACTAGTGATATCACCGCTGTGTCATCTGCAAATGTTGCAATTTTTACTCCATCTATTTTCGGAAAATCATTGGTGTATAACAAGCAAAGCAGTGGGCCTAATATGCCACCTTGAGGCACTCCTGCATTATTTTTTTTTAATTTTGAATATTGCTCTCCTTGTTTGACTCTAAACAGTTTCTCAGATAGGTCACTATCAGGAACTGATAATATCGACATACTGCTTTGGTAGCATACCTTTTAGTTTCTTGAGGAGTCCTTCGTGCCAGACCTTGTCAAAAGCTTGTGAAGGAAGATCAAGGAAGATAGCAGAACATATTTGTTTTTATTCAAGAAATTTTTCTATTACGTCCGTTACTCGGTGAATTTAATCTATTGCTGAATGCCTTGTTCGGAATCCAAATTGGTGGTCAGGAATGATTTTCTTTTTATCTACGATGTGTTTTATTCGTTTTAATAATAACTTTTCGAAGAGTTTAGACACTATTGGTAGTAGCGATATTGGTCTATATGATTTGCCCTCGTTCGCTGGTTTTCCTGGTTTTTATCATAATGACTTCTGCGAATTTCCAGATGCTGGGAACATATTTCACTCTGATTGCAGCATTAAATAGGTATGCTAGTTTAACTATACCCTTTTTTGGCAATTGTTTTAGTATTTCTCCAGTGATAAGGTCATATCCTGGAGTCTTGTTAGCAGGTAATTTTTTAATTTCTTGTGCTACTTCTTTAGGTGAAACTAGTTTTATATTTTCTTCTTGTGGCCTGGTTGTTACTTCAAGTAAGCTGCCATTGATGATTTCATTTGGTTTGAAGATTTCAGCAAGGTAACTTAAGCGTACGTGAGCAAACAATTCGGCTTTTTACTGCTGTCTCTCGCCCAGGTACCATCCTCTTTTTTTAATGGAGGAATTTGGGCGATTGGTATTTTAATTTTTTTATGGCCTTCCACAGCCAGTAATCAGTGGCTTCACCTGGTGTTAGATCTTCTAGATAATTTCTGATTGAGTCGACATGTATTTTTTTAGCTTTTGAATGTTTTTGTCTGCAGGGTCTCTTGATTGTTGCCATTTTCTCCTAACCTTTCTTTTCTGATTTATTAGTTCTTTAGTTTCCTTGGGGTAGTTGAAGCCAATTGTTTTATGGATAGTCTGACTAGTATTACACCATGGTGAAGTCTGAATGATTGAGGTGAACACCTCTGCTTCATTATCTAATTGTTCTTCCGTTTTTATAGAAACATTAAGAGCTGTTTTTGCATCCACGTCTAAGGCAAAACTACTCCAGTCAGTAGTTAAATTAACTGATGTTGGCTTGCATTGTTTTTTATTATCTTTTCACTTAGCGTCAGTATAACTGCTGAGTAATCAGAATTTAGATCAAAGTTTTCTGTTACTTTAATGAAGTTAGGAGAAACTTTTTTGGTAATAAAAAGTCTAAGAGATCAGGTATTTTGTTGCAGTCTGTTGGCCAGTAGGTTGGTTTCCGTGTAGAATGGTAGATGCACACTCGCGTAGCTTTCCTTAGTTCGCGGCCTTTTGTGTTAGTCAGTCTGGATCCCCAGTCGACATGTTTAGCGTTGAAATCTCCGCCTACTATGAACCTTTCGCCTAGGTACTCTAGGAGTCTCGAGTATTCTGAACACTTTAGATTGAGCTTTGGCGGACAATATACTGCGCCAATAGCTATTTTCTGTTTGACAGAGTTAAGTACGACCACGGTGAGTTGGATCTCATCAGGTTGAAGAGAACGAACTGCGAAGTGTCGTATGTTGTCCTTTATGATGATAGCGCTACCACCGTTGTTATTAGGATGGATGGTGTGATATATTCTGCAGCCATTTAATTTTATAAATTACTGTTTTGTTAGGTGGGTTTCAGTTACTAAGCAAATATCAATTTTCTGCGTATTTAGAAATATTTCAAGCTCTTGTTTTTTCCCTAGTATTCCATTTGCATTTCAAGTTGCTATTTTAAGATCTTGTCGGCTCATCATTTGATACTAATTTTGCTTCTAGTCTTTCTAGCCGCTCAGAAAGTTTGCTCATTGCGGTAGTTATGTTGGCCATCATTTCCATCATGTGCTGCTGTTTGTACGGTGACATTGTATGTTCTGGTATGTCTGTGCGAGCTACTTGAGCTTAGGTTACTCCTTTTTAAATTGAGTTGGGCCGAGGAGCCCTTACTACTAGAGAATCGTTAGTTATTTATTAGTTGATTTTATATGGTTTTTCCGTTTTTGTAATTCTTTCGCAATCATGCATCCTCCCTAATTTGCGGGATGATCACCTGCACATTTATGGCATTTAGGAGCTTCTTCTTTCTGCTTGGAGCAGTTTGCTGTTAGATGTTCGCCAGCACATTTCAGATATTGGAGTGTGGTTGCAATATTTTTGTGTAAGACTATATCGTTGACATTTTTTGCACTGAGGAATCATCTTGCTGTTGTTGATGGCTTCCATTTTGACTTTCATATGGCATATATATCGTATTTCGAAAATGGTTTTAATGTCTTCGGTATTTTCGAAACTGAGCATGAACAAAGGAAGCGGAGTTGTCTTTTCAACTCCGTTTTCCTTTGTCTTTTTTATTTTATTAACAGCTGATATTATCTTGAAACCTTCGTTTTGGAGACAGTTACAATATCTATTGGATCATAAGATGGGTGTAAATTCCTGGCCATGACTCTTATGGGCCTGGTTTGTTTATTTTCATATGTATGCCACTCCATGTTTTTTGAGATGTTCATGAGTTCTGTAATTCTCCTATATTCAGTTTCATTGTCAATGTTAATTTTTATTTGGTCATTGTTCATGAGTTTAGCTTTAAAGTTAATTTTTTGTCGTTGAAGAGCTTCACATATTGGCTTCATATCAGTCACATTGCTTAGTATTATGGGAGGTAGCCTCTGCCCTTTTGCTTGGGTTTTGTCTGATCTGTTATCAACCGATTTTTTGACTAAATCAAAAGTATTATTTGATGTTTTGATCTCACATTTTTCAGGAGAAGACATACATTTTCTTTTTTTATTCTTTTGAACGAGCCATGCCGTTTCTTCGACTACTATTTCTTCTTCTTCTTCAGAAGTCGGTAGTGTGAAATTTTTTTCAGTCTGGCTCGGTGTTGATTTTTGTTATTTTCCAGTTAGGGTCTTAACATAAGCCTTCATTTTTACGATCATGTTTTGTAATTCCTCATTACATTTGCGCTCTTGTGCTAGTTGCAATCGAAGGGCATTTATTTGTTCTATCTTTCCCATCTTTTCGATTCTTTCCTAACTGGTCAGGATAGAGAGTGGTAACGAGTTGGGTAGGGGGAAGGGGCAAGAGTGAGATTTTGAACGCTCGGAATTTTCCGAGACGTTCTAATAATAAGCGTTTTCCTACCTTTTTCTGCTGAGAAGGCAATCCTTATGCGGTGTTACTGGCCTAATTTTCAATTTCTTTCCGTTTGTTACAATATTTAAATTGTTTTTTTAAGTTAGTAACACTACAATTTTACACACTATTTCCACAACACACTATTGATAAGGTCCGCTACCCACTGGGGAAGTTTCAGATCAATGTTCGTAGAATAAACCATCGAAAAGAGAAACGTTCGTAGAGCGACAAAAAATACGTCTGGTCACGATAAACGTCACTATACGACTCTAGAGAAAATTTTATGAATATTTAAATTTTACAACAGACACCGCTGTTTCTCAACTGCTTTAAACCAGTTCGAAGAGGTGGTATCCTTTAGAGACGTCTACCACTCAAAGTTCAGATTTGGAATGCTTTCACTGAGTGATTTCAGCATTTCAGTAGGTGTTCAACAGCCAGGAGACTTAGAAATGATTTACACACTCCGGAAGGCAAATACTACCAGACCTCGTACTTTATGTCGGTAAGGACCCTTAAAATTTTTTATACCTCTTGAAGAAATGTTCCACTTTATTTCTTCAATATAATTTGGCTTGATGTCGAGATGCGTGTAGGGATTTAACGTTTTTTTGCCTTTGCCATGTAGGCATCTGCCAATCTCATGTTTGCTATTGAACATCTCGAGGTGCCGTCCCCGGCCACAGCTGTTCTACAAAATCGATGGTTATCTAAAGATTTTAAAGAATCGGCTGTTGTCACTGCCGTTTTGTATGGTTTTAAAGCAAAAAACACACATATACGAATTTGTCACATGGCTAATATGCATAGTTCATAACGCCAAAAAAAAAAAAAAAAAAAAAAAAAAAAAAAAAAAAAAAAAAAAAAAGTGCTAACGTATTCGTATTTATGGCAGATATTTATGCCGTTTCTAGACAGATTTTACCATTTATGTCGTAAAGTTTTCGAGGTAGGGAGACAGGTGGGGGCGTCGGTGGCCGCAACGGTTGGCAAGGCGCTCATCACTGTAGGGTAAAGGTCTCGGGTTCGAATCCAGCGGCCTTGCATTCGAAACTGACATACTTACAAATGAGCTTATTTTCAAAAACACTGGCACCCCGAGGGTTGATATAACCTCTGCTATTGCGAACCCTAGTGTTTAATCGTTTGATATAAACGATTCGAAAAAGAAAAATAAGAAAAAAAAAGAATAATTTCTTAAGAAAATTAAATAATAAAAAATCAAATTGAACGAAAATAAATGAGAAAATTAAAGTGAGCCAATGTTTCAAATTAAATGAAATAACACTAAAGAAAACCATTCACCCGAAAATAATACCTAGAAACTCACCTTGCTGAAACTTGTCGGATTCACAGCGGCGACGCAACTTTGGTCCCGAGTCCGTCGTAGTCTCCGGTGTACAGCTTCGGCTAATTTTCTTGGTAGTATTAATTTCGGGTTGAACCAAAAAAACAGTTAAATCACTGGCACAAGTTTAAATACCGAAAACGCCGGAGAGAATAGAAGGAGTGAGTGGATCGTTCAATGAGAAGTGAGATTGGCTCGCGTAAGCGGAGGAGATTAAAGGAAGAACAGCTGCTTGAGATTAAAAGTACAATCTATTTACGTATGTACTGTTGGCGTAAACACCTAGTAAAAAAATATATATATTCAGGTACAATGTAAAGCACGGTACAATCCCAATTTTTGGGGACAGTTGTCATCTCCTGCTTACTATTAATATTTCATCTATTCGTGTTAGATTTATAGTATGATTTATTTTTCGTGAAACTGGGTTAGTTTTATGCACTGAACATTTATGGGGTTTGAATTTTGAAGAAGTGTTACGGCAAACAGATGCCGAAACGATCATAGAGACCGACTGGAACAATAAAAACTCCGACCTATTCCATCAAAGATACCGACTTACAAGGATAACGCCGTCCTCTCCAACTCTGACATTTTAAAAAATAAACTTAACAAAAATTTTAGCTTTTGGCCAACAGGCCACGATTTATTCCACATGCATCCAATGGGGGGGGGGAACATCGTTTGTAGAAAGACCTAAACATAATGTTGTGAACACTTCAAATATACCGTTTCGTAAAAAAAAAATATTTATTATGATTACATCATGTTGTCAATTGTGAAAATCAAGGAAAAGGACATAGCTCCAAAAGTATTCAAAAATAAAGTAATGGTGGTAAACTATAAGTCTCTTTTGAAAGTGAGACTTCAATGCGTCTAGTACACAAAGGGGGAACGTTAAGTACGGCTACGATAGAATGAGAAGAAAATCCCCATTTATAATATATTCCGTCGTAGGCTTGATTCAGCTTGAATAACCATAGAAAAAAACAACCTAATTAACGACAAAAATAGACTATGGAAAAAATAAAAGAGTGGGGGTGAAAAGGGATAAACTTCTATAAAGAGGTGTATATAGGAGGTTGAATGCAAAGTGGTGATTACAGGAAAGATTCTAGGGGTCTCAAGTAAGAAGAAATCCGATTGTGACATCTGAGGAGAAGAAAGGGCAAAAGAAAAGAGGAAGAAATGAGCCCCCTTCTTCTTTACAGAACTCCCATTTAAAAGTAATCGTACTTAGTTATAAAGATCAAAACACCTTGAAAGTCTTACTTCTAACCACCGTTAAGATCTCATTGACCCCAAACTATTAAGATTCAGTTATACAAAATATCTCATTATACCTGTATTTTCACTCTACTTTTATTTTAATTAAGAATGGTCAAATTTATGCTTATTTTCAACATTTATTATTTAAAATCATTACACGTTTAGAAATTAGATATTAGTTTGTTAATTTAATTGATCTTTCTGAATTGATATTAAAAATTCCTCCCGTGCAAAGATTTATTTATGTGACACACAATGACGACAGGTTACAAAATTTTATGTTCTTATTCTCAAAAATGTAGGAACGTTTCTTATTACCCCTCTACCTCAAAACATTTCGCCAAACACACAAAAGAGATTTAGGTAACATCAGACTTGTATTTTACAGCTGAATGTAGTCTACGTACTACTAAACACCTACGAAGAAAAAGAAAAAAAAAGAAAACGTATGCGTAGGAATTTGTCTTGACACCGAAAAGGCTTTCGGTAGAATATTATTACATAAATGTATTGTTAAGTAAACTCTAGCACAATCTGCCCTACACTTATATCAGACTCATCAGTCATTACTGGAGCCCAGATTTGTATGCAATTTCATATGCTTTTTCCTCATATTTGAAACATATTGCATTTTTGAAACATTACTATTACTTTGCAAAACAAAAATAAACCCGAAAACTCAGAACGCGAAAGGAAAAGGACAGGAGTTTACAATTTTATTCGGATGCAGGTTTTTTCCCCCTGGGGTAGCGGTTGTGAAGAAAATATGGGCGTAATTTGAACAACAAAAATAGTCAATGTCAGTCAGTCCTCATTCATATTTCCGATCTAGTTAACCTAAAAAACATGAAAACAGAAATCCTCGATGATGTGATTGTATTGCATCAGAAATTTAAAAAAAAATTCTTGTCAAAATTTTTGGATTGAGGGAATATTAAATGAAAACAATTAACCTGTTATATACCGAATACCATCGACTATACGACAATTGTAAGTCCCTACATGCTCCCGTCACTATGTTGACGAATTTTTGTTTTAATACAAACATTATTGAGCAATAAAAGCAGCAGTTTCGCCGAAATTGTCAATTTTAATGCAGATCATGAACTTAATGAAGCTTAATTATTTTGTATATTTTTAATTGTATTATCTATTGTGGAACTACAATTTTTTTTCTTCTATTTCATTTCATAGTGAATATGTACGCGACCCCTCCCCCCCCCAAAAAAAAGCCTCGTATATGGAAAAGTTAATCATTAATGTAGTGGTGTATCTGACATTTATCTTGCATATTTTTGAAGTAAATAATACTGTGTGTTTCAGGATTGTTTAAGGCATATTACATGGTATATTTGAGGTTTTCAGTGCTTATTAATCCGAACTCTAGTTAATATTAATTACCAATTAATTAGTATAGATTCTAGACAGAGACTGGTACTCTATCATAAATACTATGTCCATTAAGTCATTATTACGCACTTACTAAATATCATTATTGTAAGCATTTTCATCATAAATATATTGTTTATGTATACATGATTTATGACATATCATAGGTAGGAGGTACTAAAGATCGCATTTGCTCAATTTCGGTTGCATAAACTGAGTAGCTATTGAGTCAGGGTAGAACAATAATATTGATACAACATTATTCAGACTGGATTCCGAAATACGCATGGTTACACATAAAAATGTAACCACAGAGAATGGCCAAATAATTCCCATTTCATCAAAATGCATAAATTTGCATTTGTTTTAACTGGCTTCGACAAAATCGATTTGACTAATTTTGCGCATATTGCTACGCATGTTTGATAATAATCATTAAATACTTTATAGCAGTGTAAATCATAATTGCGACGTTAAGACGGATGGAAACCTCTTCCATAATACTTAAACAAAAACTCAGAAATAAAAGGGTTTATTTGGTGCTATCGAATTTTAAGTCACTAAGCTTGAACCCATTTGTAGAACACTATGATGGTTTGACATTATCCTTTATCTGGAAATGATACACTTCAAATAAATTAATTGCCACTAAAATACCCTATTTAAAAATAGGCTCATTTTAAAGACAAAGACCCGTTTTGAAACACAACACCAACAAAGAAATTACAATTACGGATGAATTTCAAATTTGTATGAGAGATTGCACTTTCTTTGGTTTAACCATAAAATACTTGTTTGTTTTCCTTTGCGCGGAAATGACTAGGGGCCTCTATAATTTGATGAAAACTAGAATGAACATTGGCAGATTTTTTAACCTAGTCAATTTTGAAATCATCCCATGGTCGCGAAATCGCCTTCCATCGTGGGTTCGAGTTCCGCTCAACCACAATTAACATAAATTATAAATCAGTTTAAATCATTACTTTGATTAACTAGGACCAAGTAAAAAATGTGGATTAAAATAATAATTGCTGAAATACTGCATTTGGTTAACAACTCCCAGTGGCAACTTCCTGTGTTGCCGAGAATCCAATACGATTGCTCGAAATTTCAATATATGCCAAAAAGTCGGAAAATCTGAGAAAACTGTAGGTTGAGGTGATGAGTTGGTGTCCGGGGCGGGGGCGAAGACACAACAGCTCAAGTGGTTAGAACATCGGAGTATCGAGCCGGAGGTTGTGGGTTCGAGTCCCACTCTAGACTCTAATTTTTCATCTCAATCACACCTTACATAAAATTATATATCAATTCAAAACATTACTTCCGTTAACTAGGACCGACAAATGTATTAAAATATTTCAATGTTTACTACATATAAAATACTTAACTGCCTAAAGTATGTAATAGATTTTTATCCGCTCGCGTTTTTATTTTGGTGGACAAAACACTGATTGAAGAAGCAATTTTACAAAAGATATAATTTCGTGAAGTATAAATATTCAGAACTTGAAAAGTTAATCATTTTCTGCTATTAACCTATTTGTAATTAATTGATACAATTAGAGCGGATTCTATTTTCTAACAAGTAAAGCTTGTAATGGAATTCTTCAGATTGCCCTGGTAGAAGTTTTGGTCGGAGAAATCGAAGAAATAAATAAGAATTGAGATAAATTGAGTGATATAAACTTTATTTATCTCGGTAATGGAATAGACGACGCCCTCGTAGAAGGGCAATTAGTATAAAAAAGACATTGCCTACATTTGTCCCGGCTAATTGAACGGGGCAAAAACGAGCGACCAATGGACGTAGCACGGACTTGATTGTGCTCCACAAATTGTGTTTGCTCACCTACGCATTTTACGGCAGGAGTCGGTTGACCGACGGAAGGCGAGGGGGTGAAAAGTTTAATTCCAAAGCACAGCGTTTGGTGTGTTTTTTTACAGGATATCTGTGTTTTACATCAATCAGGTGATTCACGACGTCGATTGACTAAACATGGACATAGTTTACATAAAATCTATCGGAATAGATCTAAAAGAAGTTGCAACATTCCTCATACAATTTTTTAATACTTGGATTTACAGTATAAATATACATCTATTTAATAGTTTTCATAAAATTAACCAATAGAATCGTGGAATTTTTACCTCTGAAAAATAAAAGACTGCTTTAATATACCAGACTTAAGCCTATGGGCTTACGGAATGGAAGTGTGAGTTTCAGCCAAACATTTCAACATCTGCAACATCCAAACTGCCCTTAATCTCAGGAAAATTCCTTCAGTCTCCATTTTATGCTTCGAACGAAACTACACATACAAAATAAATATTTCTTTTAGTTCAAGTTGAAATCCGTACCCGTCCGCAAATTTTACAACGCCATACCAACCAGCGTATATCTCCGTACCTAAAACTCGTATCCCAAAGAATGCCCTCCTTGCCTATTATCTCCAGGAGCCGTCAACAACTAGGTCATTTCTGCATTTTTTTAAACTAAGATTAAATGTAGAGATCGTTGACTAAAGCGCCATATTACAAAGGAAGTTTTTCACGGAGAGAGCTTAATTTCTTCCAGAAACATTATTATATTTTTAGCTGATGTTGAAGTAGACTAAATAGTGTTCCAAAATCAATGCTGCTGTCTAAATCGTACTGTTTGAATCGCACAGGATTGTTGAAATCACCTTTTATCATCAATCATCCTGGAAGGACATCAGCCATAAAATAGGTATTCCATGTTGTTTGCAAACTTTTACTCGTTTATTTCCCTTACTTTTGTGAAACAAATTCGCGAGATCAATCCATTCATTATTTTTGTTTTCAGAGGAGATAGTTGTTTTCTGACAAGAATTGATCACGTTTTTAGGGCATTGATTGCATTTCACCAAATAAATGTAGGATTTTGTAGAAGGTAACGATGAACCTATCTCTGGTAGTGATGTTGATAGTGCATTGTTGCTTCCAACAAACGCTGCATCTAAACTCACTGATAGAAATACTGACCATAAAGCTAATTCTTTAATACGCAATTTACTGTGCGTCTCCAGCTATCATAGCCATCGACATCA